GTATTGTCAAATTGAAGACACTTGAGCTGCCTTCTTCTTTTCTTCTTTTTCTTTTTTAGTCCAAATCTTCAACAACTGAAGACTTACTGGTGATGTTGATATGAATTAAAGCAATTACTTGCTATAACACAGTGATCTGACCAAAGTAAAATAGGATAAAGGGATTATGAAGATGAGGGTGAACACCTGATACTCACTCTTTTATTAAGTCACTAGGAGCTGTGGTGAAAACAGCATTGTGCAAACATTCAATGGAGATCGTGGCTCATCTCCGGCAGAAACCTGTCCATTTCCTCCTTCTCTTCCTATCTTCTCCCAGTTCTGCATTATTATTAACCTGGTATCAACAAAAGAAACGTAATTAGGCATGTTTATCTTTGAGGGACCTACAGGCCACAAGCTTTACAATTCCATACCCCTCATATTCCCATGGCTATGAACAACCACTCTTACATAGCACTTTCCCGAGCCCCCCCTTAAACCATGGAATCACTAAGGAGCAACCACAGGAAAGTGTAAATAAAGAGTAATATTCTATAAAAATACAGCATTGTGAACACAGGTACTGCAAGAACGCAGGCAGAGATGTCTGCTATTTCCTCCGTTTTCTTTTTTGTCTCGTTTCTTCAGTTTTGTTGGATAGGGAACTATCTACATAGACAAAATGAAATTAGATCTTTTAATCTTATAACTAATGTGTAGGAACTGAAACAGAGAGGGACTACATGGCCTTTTACTTTTTCCGTTCTCATGAAGAGCTTCCTGAGGTGATGTAAAATAAACGCAACTTCACTAAAGTCCACAGAACTCCTGTGGTTTACACTTTTTGTGTGTCTGACTCACTGGATCAAAAGCAGAAGTGTATGAAAAGAGAAGAAATTATTGAGCAAACTCAAGTGCTGATGAAATGTCTGCTATTATAAAACTGCATGTTTAGATCTTATCATGTTCTTGGGAATAGTAAACCAATTTTTCTCAGATAAAATTCCTCATATCTCCCACTCATAAAATTCCTGCTTCAGATTGCCCAATTTTGCATGTTGCAAACTTCCACTATCATTAGTTTATAAGGATGTGATATTATAGCATCCTTTTAACTGGAATAGCAGTTTTTACACCAGTTATGAAAAATGTTGCTATAGCTCAATTTTTAAAATTTTGACCACTGAAAACAAAACATCAGCTGATTCTGAAGCAAGTCTGGCATTTCTATAAGGACTTTGTTCTATTCTGTTTAAAGTTCTTGTTAATAGAGTTCATAAAACTATTTTAATTTCCCAAAGCATTTTAGAGCTTCTTATTCCTGTAATTTAAAACAATTAACTATTTTGGGAGGAGCAGAACAGAGTGGATTTGATTTAAAATTATTCTGCTGCTATGCATTTGTAGCTAAACAAAACTCTAAATTATGTATTAAGAAAACATGGAATATTAAAAACCCCTGCCAAAACCCATACTGTATGACTTAAGTGGATGGAAAAATGGTGCCATAACAGAGGGAAAACGTCTCAGTCTGTGGGACAAATGCCTGCAGGTGAGAACACATCAACAGCATAATCAAATATAGAAAATTAAAGAGGGAGGTAGGATCTATTTTTATTAAATGTTTTTTGTAATCTCAGTTTCAAAGTTTAGCTCTTTTGGTGAAAACAAGTCAACAGTTGCAGGATATTCATCAAAGGTGAATTTAAGACTTACTGTGTACTTACAGAATTTCACTTTTTCCACTTGTTCAGATAAAATAAATATGCAATAGATAACAACAATGAACAAATAGGCAGGTAAATATCATTACAAGAAAGAGTTGATAAGTGGGCACGGTATTTTGGCTAGTGATTTTCCATAAAATCTTTTTGTACTACGGATCTAATGTAATGACTGAAATTTCTTACAAAGACTCTTCACCCCTACTGCCTGCAGGGAGTCTATTTTCTACTGTTAGTATGCACAGCAGCATTTAATATTTGCAATCCTGCACTAAAAGCCAAAGCCGGTTCCATTAGGCAGCTGGAATTTTCATGTCCAAAGGACAAACACACTTAGTACACCCTGCTCTTGTACATGCGAAGAGACAGTGACTCTCATACTGATAGCATGCAATACACGACAATTTCTTACTTCTAGTCAGCTATTAGAAAGTCAGAGGCATATTTTCATTCATAGTCATGATCTAAAAGATAGCAATACATGAACCCTAACTGGGCTACATACACATCTGCCAAATACGATTAACTTTTCTTTTGCATTAAAAAGCCATTCTGCAACAAGTAACCTCCACAACATTGCTCTTTTCTAAATGCAGTCACGCCCAAAGGGTTCATCCAACCAAAAAAGGAGTTTGCATCAAAACAAACCGCCTCCTCTGAGCACCTCTGCCTCAGCAGCCTGCCCTTAACCACAGAGCCCACACAGCTAGTGTCACATTTCCAGGCTGATAGTGAAACAAGCTCCCAACTGCGAAATTGCAGAAGTACTAGAGAGTTTATGAAGTTCACGGGGGACTTGGTCATGGCCATTAATTTTACATGAAAGGCAGTCCTATACAACAGGAGCTACCACCAGAACAAGGTTTTAACCTAACAGATCTGTTGAAAAAGAAAGTTAGGACTTCTCCCTGCCATCTGGTATAGCCATCCATTACCTCCTCACCGCTCACCTACTGCCAGCGGGCCCAGCTGTGCACAGGACGCAGTGCCTCTCTCCTCAGGCCAAAGACTCCGGGAATGGAGGGAGCTGTGTTCTGCCTGCTCATGCGATAAAGGCAAAACACAAGCAGCATCAGATTATCACCCAAAATAACCCCTCAGAAGGTACAGGCACCTCTGTGCCAACACAGTGCCCAGAGAACCCACCACTGAGGAGAGCCTCCCACAGCATGTCAGTCCTCTCCTGATTGGCTGGCCTTCCTCAGAAGGTTCCAGAAGGGGGCAGAGCAACCAATCACGTCTCCTGGCACTCTCTCATGCCAGGCAGACAGATGGCCACGCTGAGGGGGGGACATTTTCAGGATCTGTGGAACTTGCTGTTGGCCTCTGCCAGCACCTCTCCTCTGGCCGGGGACAGGCCACACCAGCCCTTCTGAGCCACAGGAAGCTCTGGAGAAGCCATGGCTACACAGTGGGGCCGACAGCATGGCCAGGACACACTATGGAGGAACATCGTGGGATGAGACAGCAGCGAGGAGCAGTGGTAGGAGAGGGGCCCGGCAGTGCTGGGGGGACGCATGGGGTGCAGGCACAGAGATAACAGGAACCCCCCTGTCAGTGCTGGGGCAAAGCTGGCGGTTGGCAACCAGGATGGTCCAGGTCTCCCTTTTCCTATCCATTTACTGATAATGGTCCTTGATGTTAGGGTAAGGACTGAGAACTTGTGCCTAAACTCTGCCCTTTCCTTACTCCCCTGAAAATGATCTATGTTCTCTTCAAACTGGGAGAGCTGCAGGGTTTCTGCTCTGAATCTATTACTAATTCTAAAGAACTGCCAGGTAGGTCTATTTAAGCAATCCTCCTCCCTCAAAGAGGAAGTTGAGTTTGAACTCAGCTAAAATGTCTTATAAAAATGTTTTTCCCAGAATTCCTTTTCCATCTAGCAATAAATCGGTAAATCTCAAGCTCAACCTTTTTCTTTGGAAATGCGTAAACACTTCCTGTAGATATGCTCAGCAGAACAAATGATGTGATATGCCTACATCAAAATGATCTGGCTCAACTCAGCATTAAACCACATCCTCCCGCTCTGGTTGTATGCCTTATTCCTCCCTTTGCCGCAGTAACTCAAGTCCCACAGAGCACTACAGGCTGCACTATTAAGACAGCAGACTTGGAGCACTGTGGTAGATGCAGCTCACCAGTGAGCCTGACCCGGAGGGAAAGTGTTGAATGAGAACCTAAAGCATGTTTTTTCATGAATTGCAGCGCTCACATAAGCAGACATTACTCCTGAATAAGTTATTTTCATGTGTATGAAACCAATGTTTTACTCAAGCTAACACCAAAACCGTTTGAGTTTCTGAGAGATGTTCACTTCCTCTCACACCCCCTCAAAGTCCAAAACTCTCCATCCAGAAAGAAAGGCTTCCAAGAAGCCCTCCTGCTTTCTGACTTTGTCTCAGAGAAAATGTCCATCTATACTAAAGACAGGAATTTCCCAGAAATTAGCCTGGAGAAACATGTTGCAACAGAAGGTAAGAAGCACCGCAGACTAACTGCTTTCAGATCTCAAGTCAGATGCATTTCTTTACCTTAGCTTCCTAAGTTAGTCACACAACTGTTTTGTTCGCTCAGGCATTCATCTCTGTAAAACTGGCAGAGCTGTGTCTTTTGCAAGCTGAGAATAATAATGAAAAGCAAATTATTTTCATTTGTACTTTTAAATAATTTAGAGGCAGCTGAGTGCTATAGCGAGAAGAGCTTTGACAGAAAGGGAGGCGATTTAAAGCGTATTCCCTAGCAGCTAGTTAAACCTGTCACAAAATATTACAATCTACCCAGGAACTCCATCTGTATAGCTGTAGACCAAACGGTGTAGTCTAGCTCTCTCCTGTCACTGGTGTCAGTTCCAACTTCACCACGCTTTCTTAACCTCTTCCTTTTAGCAGTTCAGCGCCTGTTAAATTGTCCCTAGCAGCGTAAGCTCCGATGCGGCACGCCCTGACTCGTCGGAGGGAACGGCCTGTGCAGCGGGCTGTGGGCTTCACGATGGCACAGCCGCCGGGACCGCTGCCCGGGGAGGGGAAGTGAGGGGGGGCCGCGAGTGCTTTCCCGCCGGCGGAGGGGCCCGCGCCCTCCGCTGTGCGCGCTGCGGTCCTGCGGCGGGGTGGCTCGGGGAGGTGCCGCACGCCCCCGCGGCGCGCGACTGGGTACGCGCGGCCCCGCCCCCCCTCCCGCCAGCCAATCGGCCGCTTCCTTTCATTTCCGGCGCGCTGCCCCGCCCCGCTCGCGCGTCGCCGAGCTCCCGGCCCCGCCAACCTGAGCGGCGCAGGATGTGGCTTCGCGGTGACGTCAGGCCCAGATGTTTCCCCAGGCCACGCCCCCGCGGGGGTCCGGGCGGCTCCGGGGAGCGGTAACGGGGAAAGCTCATGCTCCTGTCACAACGCAATGGAAGGGCTGGGGAAACCGCGTCTTTATTTCATTGCGTTCTCGAAAAAACAGCATTAATTCATACTTCAAGCAACAAGCTGCCAGTGCCAGGATCTAGCTGCTCTTCTTTTTCTCTTCTATTGGACTTCTAATGCTTTTTTTGATTTGGGGACAGGCTGGGTGTGATCGTCACGAACAAAGTATGTTTTTGATGGCTGCTAGATCAGCCTTTACTTCTACAAAGAGATCCTAAGAAATAAGAGAGGGAAAAGTCTGCTCACATAATCTTTTTTAAAAGGGAAAGAGCGGTGTCGTGGGTTTTGGTTTTTTGTTTTTTGTTTTTTTTTTTTTTTCTTCTGTTTGGATATCTTTTAAACTTACGAAAAATGGCAACAGCAGCATACGTGGATCATTTTGCAGCAGAGTGCCTTGTTTCTATGTCCAGTCGTGCTATTATTCATAGTCCCAAAGGGAAGACTGATCCCCAACCCGATGCAGCAATACCTCCTTCATCAAATGAAGATATGCGAGAAGGCAGAGAAACTGGGAAAGACAATGGATCATTACTCATGGTAGCTAGCATTTTAGCAGATCTGAACCAGCATGTCCCAAACTCACCCACTCTAAGGATGGAAAAAATGGACACTCTTGATATCACAGAACAAATACACATTTCTGTTGCTTCTAAGGAGTTTGGGGAAGAAAGTGTGTCTTCGGCTGGTAAGCGTGGAGGAGGAAGAGCAGCCACACCTACTAGCCTGGCTGCAGTAACTGAGCCAAGCCCCAGACAAAAGAACAAACGCAGGAGAAGCTGGACTGACCCTGGATCACCCCAGAAAAAGCACAAATGCCACTATGTGGGGTGTGAAAAAGTTTATGGCAAATCTTCCCATCTTAAAGCTCATCTAAGGACCCACACAGGTTAGTTACGATCCAGCCAGAGATTTATTTGTTACAGCTTGGTAATTAAAATGAATGTTGAAAAAACAAAACCAAACAAACTTGTATTTGGCCACCATTATGGTTTCACCTCTCAGAACTCAAGATTGGGAAAACCAAACAACAACAAAAAAAACCCCTCTGGGAATAAACATTACTGGGCATAGATTCAAAGCTAATGTTGCCCCTTTTTTTACTTAATGTCACAGGGAATGGCGTGTGGGTTGTACCAAGCTGTAATTCTTAGCTGCTAGCCGCCTTGTTTGGTGCGTCTTCTACTTCCCTTTCCAATGCTTCTTACTCTCCCTCATCTACTTTTTTCTACCCCGTGCTTCTGTCAGTACCTTTATACTAGCTTAGCACTTCCCATGCAAGCATCAGTCCCCTTGGTATTTTAAAATTAAATGCTCTAGAGGCACCTGAATGGCTGTGTGCCTGTTTCTTTCTTTAGCAGGCACTTGTGTGAAAGCTAGAGTAGGCAGGAAAGCAGATGAGAGGCTGAACATGCGTCACAAGGAGACATTTATCATATATGTAAGAGAGGGGGACATGGGCAGTCTAAAAAAGCTTTTCGCAGCTGGGTAGAACTGATTTCAAAACAAAAAACATCTGAATGCAAAACCCTAACTTGTTCTGATGAGTGTTCAGTGTTTACTTCTTGGTGAAGATGTCTCTGACCACTTTTTTATTGCTATTGTAATTTACGAGACACACACACATGGAAAAAGTGGAGGTCTTGCAAGTGCTGTGAAAGTTACGCACTGAGAGTATTAGGAGTGCCATCTTGAAGCAGGCCTCATGACTTACCAGACCTTGTGCCTCTGCCTGGTGCTGGGGAGCAGGGTGGCTTCTGGTCAGACAGGGAGCACCAAAAATTGAGGAGAGGGATCTCTGCTGGAGGCACTGATCACAGCTCATATGGTGAGACACCACTCTGACTAGAGTAGGCTTGTGCAAGCTGTTCCACTGAGCAATTTCAGACAACAAATTAGTTTTCTAAGATCTATGGTCAGTTCACTTATAAAGAACATTAAGAAAAAGAGCCTCAGAACTAAACATGACTTAATGACTCAAATAGTTTTAGCTCAGAGGTGACACCCTCACCCACACCAGCCATACCTCTTCAGCGTGCCTTCAGTTTTTCCTGCTGCCTTCCTGCGATAAAGCAAGATGCCTTCTAAATAGAGGGTATGTTTTGTTATCCATGGGAAAGAAGAAAGCCTGATCAAGTTTGAGCATATGGATGAACAATTCCGTGTGCCACACAGCCAAAGGAACAGCGTGTTCCTGGCACCCCAGGCAGCCTGCCCTGCTTTGCACTGTGTAACTGCTTTTTGCCTCTTTGGGAGTTAGGAAGAAAAGGTGCTTCCACTTGGATTGCAGGGAATTGTCTCCGTTAATTTTCAGTTATTTTGCTTTCTCATTTCTGGCATTTGCCATTGTCCTAAAAGTGAAAGATAAATTTAGCAATGTTTCTGGGCTCCCAAACCAACAAGAGAACAAGAAGAGGAACTCCTGTGCCTGATAAAGAGGAGTGGGCTGGGCTGTGCTCGTCCTGCGGGGAGAGGAGAGGAGAGGGGAGGGAGGGCAGGGCGGTTGGGGAGTGTCGCTCGGGGCTGCTGGCTGAGCCGAGTCATTCGGGGACGCTGGCTTGCCTCCAAGTTTTCTGGGTTTTTTTATGTTCCTTTTTTTTTTTTTTTTTTTTTTTTTTTTTTTTTTTTAACTCTTCATTTCCTGTATTTTATCCAATTGGTTATTGCCATAGCTAATGACACTGAGAGAAGAAAGCATGTGTCTGTCTGTGAGAGCTAGAGGAAAAACAGGGAAGGGACTGGTTTTGCCCTAGGAGTGGTAGGACCCTCGGGTCTACAGTTTCTTTGTTTTCTTGCATCTCCAGTGTCTGTGTGGGAAGCTTTAAACAAAGCTGCCAAGTTTCCCTCTTAACTGGCAACAGGTCTATCTTTGTTTAGATTGAGTTTTAAACAGGCTTAAATGCCTCTTACTCCTCTTGCAGAATGTTTTTGAAGGTGTTTGGGTTTTTTTCTTTCTTTAAAAGAAATTGTGATGGGCTTGAAAAATGTTTCTATGATAGTAGGAGTTAAGCTAACAGAATAAATGATGACTTCCAGGACTGGCAAATGTTTGTTTTTACAAGACACATAGCGGGCATTACTGATTTAGAACAAGGGGTTTGGATCTCCTCTGCTTTCTAGTCGTCCTGAACTAGTTAAGTAACATGTACACATCAGTCTGCCCACCTGTCAGATGGATAGGGTGGTGGCTATCCACCTTACTAAGCAGTGGTGAAAGTACTCCAAGTACACATGCAAGGTGCTTGAAACATCTACCCCAGTAACTCCCAAATCTGTTTACTAAGAAACAATCAGAAACTTCTGCTATGTAGTGGAACTTCTTCCATGTGTTGTATGACTAGATGAGCTGGTATTTAGGGGTGAACTGAAGGCTAAGAACAGCACTGCAAGTTAGAAGATACTGATGATAGTGCTAGAGATATTTGAATAGCGCAGTTTATGACCTGCTCTAGAAACTTGCTTGTCCTTGTCTGCTACTGTGCTCAGAAACTAAAGGCTTTGTTCTTCATGCCTGGAGAAAGGAGAGACGAGATAGTTGAGCTTATGGTGTGACAGAGAGATATAGAGCCTTCCAGGTATTATTGGGTCAAATCCAGCCCACAGTGGCTGGAAGGGACTGAAAGGTAGTACTATTTTCTAGCTGTGTGGTGCCCCGTGTGAAATCCTTCTGATAGTTATAGCCAGATTTCAGTGCTCAGATGTCTAAAGCAAAAATCATAGTGCAGGGGATGCTAATTATGCTATTTAAAGCAGAAGGAGCAAGATGGAACAGCAAAGGAAGCAGCATCTGCCTTTAGGCCCTTGCTCTGAGTACAGTGGTTTAGAATTAAGTTCGCTATTAGAACATAATGTGCTAAAGCAGTCTGTAGTTACTTGTGTTTGGTAAACTAGTGGTTAAGCTATCTCAGCCGTATGAATGTTTCATCTTTATTAAATCGACAAACTCTTGAATCAGGCAGAAAACATTAGTCACCAACGTCTTTGCCGTTCTCTCCACCAGCTTTCAAAACCTTCCCCTCCCCTTGTATTTTTATTCATGTTTATGTTTTCCACCCTACTCTCTCACTGGATGTCCTGGAGTTCAATGTGATCATCAGCCACAAAGCCCTTGAAATTTTAATGTTTACCAGAAGGTTATATTTAGTGTCAGTGGGTAGATGTCAAGTCCAAATTCTTTTCCAGTGAGGTTCCTGTGGATCTCAGAAGCTGTGTTGTGATCCACAGATGCAGCACCCTGTTTGTCCCAAGCTATACTGATCCCATTGATACAAAAATTTCACCGTCATACCAGTTTTAAAAATCCTTTCTGCTCCTGAGAAAACTCCTAAACACAAAGGACTTTCAGAAAAGTCAGATAAACCATTTACATGACAAAGTTCTCCTTCCTCTAAGCAGGTTTTCATCAGGGGTCACTAGGAAGGTTTGGAAGCTCTCTGGAATCACTGCAAACCAGTTCGTTTCCTTTGTTGCATGGGTGGTAAGAGAGAGACAGTGCAGAGCCTAATAGCCAGGCTACAATCTCCTAAAGCATTGTCCAGGACTGCTATGTTCTGAGAGGTTGTAGAGAGCCTCAGCTTATTGCATTATAGTATGTATTTATAAGTAGAGAAAATTTGTCTGGATTTTGGGCAGGGAGCACAAGAATCCTATCTACTGCAGCACACACACCGCATCCCCTATCACTGTGACCTCTTAAGCTTTTAGCCATCTTCATTAGCATGCCATCATGAATGCAGAGAAAGCACAAAATAAACCTTCATTTAATTCCATTGAAACATCATAAACTTACTAATTCTACTCACTAAGCAGTACATCATACACCAAAACAGCTTTTTGATAATCAGAATTAAATGTGTTTGCACAAATTAGCATAAACTAAAGAGATGTGGGCACCAGCCTCAGTCTGGAATCTTATGATGATCAAGTCTTGCAGTCAAACAAACTTGGGGGCTACGTGGCTTAATGGTCACTCCTCTGTAACTATTACTAAACCAGCTGACTTCTGCATGGCTGTTGGGGCACAGGAAGAAGAGAAGGCCATCCTAATTATATTATCCTTGCTCATAGATGTCAGGTTAGGACTCATCCAAGAGAAAGTGGTCGAGACTTTTGTTGGTCTCAAGCTAGCAGAGTGAGCTTGGGCAGCTATGCATTCAGCCTGTTTAACCTTGCAGTTATGGGGGATATGTTATTTGATATCTGTTGTTCTTTTTAGTCTAACCTTTATTCGTGAAATACTAGCTGAACTGAAATAGGTAGAAAAGACTGACTCATTTGCATTCACTTGTAATTTCTATTTCTTTACATTAAATCTCTCTAATTGCATTTTTGAGGACAACTCTAATGAACCCATATGAAAAATTTTAGTTTTTATGTACCCTTTTCCCCCCTTAATTATTATATCTTGTTTCCTTAAGCAAAAATTTTCTGATGACTTTGTAACTGGGGTACGTGACGATGGAAAAATTCCTAATGTATTTGGTATTTGAAAGCAATCTGAGATATAAAGCAATCAGACCATGCTGTGACAAGTGTGACACAGCATAACAATTAGGTTGGACAATCTGGAGTAGTATTTGGCCTGTGTTTACACTGGTAAAGAGGTCTTTATATAAAGTACAGATAATATGTTTTAAACAGGAGGTTGGTTTTCACTTTTGGTTCTAGTTTGTCCAATTTGCTCTGACTACATTAATTCAGAATGTAGTGGTAAAGCACAACTTCTTTGAAGTTGATCTGAATCAAGATGCTACCTGTGTGCATGTGAAGAAACTGATTAACCAGTGTACGGAAAAGCAAGTTCACATATCAGTGAAATAAAGTTTATCTTCCATTTTAGCACCTGGCGATTACCAGAAACGTAGCTGGTTAGCTAAAAAAAGTGGACTA